TAAGTGCTATGACATGCTGAAAACCGCATGCGGGAAACCGCATGCTGGAAAATAAAAAACCGCGCCATGTATAATTAAATGCATAAAGACATACTACGTGCGTTTTGCAGTCGCCGCATATAAATGCGATTTTGCTGCCGCACTTGTCGGCGGGAATGCGGTTGCGGTAAGTGGGAGAACACAAAGAAACAGGTATGCGATGACATACTAGCCGCAACGTTTCTGCCGGACCGGCCAAGTAGTAGTGTAATAATGTCTGAGAACGATAAATTATTTGCGTTGGTGGAAGCGCGCCCTGCTCTTTGGGACAAGGGCTGTGATGAATTTTCATCATAACTTCTGATATCTGTGTAAAAAGTATTAAAATTATCGGGATGTAATCGATGATATGGGTGCACGGAATATCTCCTCCTCCTTGGGTTGCCGAGTAAACCTTCTGCTTCGGCTGCACATACAGCTACCACATTAAAGAAAATGTTTGTACGCGTCCATTCTCCCGAAGATTATTCAATAAATAACTGCAGTAGCAAGGGACTATTTTCTGCACGGCAGTCGGCATGCGGTTCCCGCATGTAGTATGCCATGAAATGAAAAATGCTGGAACCGCTCAAGTTTGCGGCTGCGGTTTCCCGCATGCGGTTTTCAGCATAGTATGTCATAGCACTAAGAAGGGCACGTGAATCATGAATCTGAATCATGAATCTGTAGATATACAAATGAATAAAACGTCGTACAAGACCAGATATTATGTTCTTGACAACAATATGACGTCTGCAGTACACAACAGATACCTTTTATTATATTCCTTTGTATGCGAACATTATATTCTTTTTCATCTCGCTACGATGTCACAATAACGCATAAGGCATAATTTAAGTGAAAACGAAATGTAGGTAAGCTCGTGTTCGTAAGGGTTTAAAGGACAAAGTCAGTACTTTACTTAGTAGATAATTGTATAGTTACCAAAGGACGCATTTTAGTTTTGAACAAATTAGGCCCTCGATCAATTACTATAACCTCTATTTAAAATTTCATTCTCTAAACTGTGAGCTTATTTGATACCCAAAAGTTTGACTAGGATTAGTAAACTAATTTCACCCTCTCAAAATTAGCAAATGTCACTTACATTGAGTTCATGGCCAATTATGAAATCAACTAACCCCGATTGTTATCCACTTGCTAATAGAGTCTTAAATAACTCCAAACCAGAAACGTTCGGGTGTTTATGATTGCATTTCACTTCTCTATACTTTCGGGGATTGATTTATGTGACAATCGATTTAAAATTTATGTAATTATTAATTGAAACGAAGTTCTTAACTTTAAGCTTGCTTCTTAGACGAAGTTTCCCAGTTGTTTTCTTACCAATACGTCCAATATTTCATTATTGAGAATTGAGATTTCGAAGGTCGTTAGTTTTACTAATTCCATAATGATAGACTTAGTTTTATTGACAACTGCTTACATTATTAAGGATCCTCAGATCCTTTATAGTTTTGTATTGTCGTCCGTCCGTCCGTCCGTCCGTCCGTCCGTCCGTCCGTCCGTGTGCGCTCTAACTCTTTTTAAAAGTGGCCGATTGAGTTGAAATTTGGTGTACGGGTTCTTTGGACATTAAGGACGGACGCTATTTTCAGGAAGGTGGTTCAATAGGAACAAAAGTTATAGGACTTCGAGTGAATCGGGAACAGGAAAAACTACGGGCTAAATATAATAGAAATCAACATATTTCATTCCCTAGGTCATGTATCGGGTTGGGACTTCCGCTAGATTATTCCCTATGACTCTTAGATGTGTAATACTTTAATATAACTCTTCTCTGTGGTATAGGTCGAAAGTTTTAGAGCAAAATGTAGCAAAAATTACACTTTATACTTGAATTTAGAGTTTTAAAAGGTTTCAAACGCATTATCTTGATGCAGCAAGAGTACATCACGTGCACATTTGATAACCGCATGTGTGTGATTCAAAAATGTTAAATTATTGCCATATGGGTTTTGATCAAAATAATCAAAATCGTTATTTATGCACCAAGATCGTCGAGAAAAAGACTAGGGGCATTATCTCAATGCTCAAGACATAAAATTGATGCATTTCTGGCGACTACATGGATTTTGATCAAAACATGTCAAAATCGTTATTTATGCACCAAGATCGTTGGGAAAAAGACTAAGAGCATCATCTCAATGACCAAAACATGAATTTGATCTATTTTTGGCGACCACATGAATTTTGATCAAAACATGTCAAAATCGTTATTTATGCACCAAGAACGTTGGGAAAAAGACCAAGAGCATTATCTCAATGATCAAAACATGAATTTGATCTATTTTTGGCGACCACATGGATTTTGATCGAAACAAGATTAAGAGCATTATCTCAATGGCCAAGACATGAATTTGATGTATTTTGTAACATTAAAATAAATTATCGTTAAAAGTTATTGTAATACTGAGGATCCTTCCATATTTCGTTGTATCGGTTTATTTAACTTTTATTTGGTCTGTGAAGTTTAACTAGAACTTTTAATTATACTTTGGAAATTGTTGTGTCTTAAAGTAAAACCTTCTAATTCTGCCTTTGCGTTTATGTAAAGGCATTTGGCGTCCAAATATTGAAGGAGCATGTGTTAGATATGTTTGTACGAAATCGTCTGTAGGGAAAACTTTTTAATGAAATTTGAAAACATTACACATTCTCTTTGAGTTATTAAAATAGATTTTATAATAGTTATAGTATCCGTGAGGGTAGACGTGTAGACACATATCGTTTTTAGCGCATTTCCACAAAAATAAAAAAAAGGCGCTATTGTGGCCATTTTGTCCGTCCGTCCGTCTGTCCGCTCGTACTTTGAGACGCTACTAGTTCTATATCTTAAGAGCTATTGTTCTACTTTCTTCGCTATTTGGTTTGTTATGGTGTCGAGGCTTGCACCAAGGAAGGAATTTTTCTGCGTTTATTGCTAAAAAAGTTATCGTAAAAAAACCCAAAAACCGTTTTTACATGTTTCATACTCCTACACTTTTGCCGTTTATTAACGATCCTAGAGCTCGTTTATATAATTTTGTATTGCTGTCTGTCGTCTGTCTGTTCGTATGTCCGATTGTTTCTTTGTTTGTCTGTCAATGTATCTGTCCGTGTGAATGATAACTATTTCCGATCGCTTTGACATCTCCGCTAGTTATGAACTGAATTGCATGAAATTCAATATGGGCATAGCTTCAGCCATATAGGTAATAGGCAATGCCAAAAGTTGAGTCTAATGGATTCAAAATTCACAGGTGCCCCCTTGTACACACCACACGTTGCTGCTACCGATCGATCGATTTGACGAGGTCTTTGGACCGAAATAACATTAAATTTTATTAAATTTCAAATTTAACTGATTTCGGCTGGATCAAAAATAGTATATGTTATTTGGATGAAAAATACCATTCTGTGACTCCCTATTGTTGGAATAATTGCTCCTCAGAGAATGGTGCACTTTTTATGCTCATAATGTAATATACTATTTCCATAAACTCTTCTGGACCCTGGACGTGAAAAGCTTTAAAACTTTACGTACGGTGGAAGAGCTTCATGCTTCTAGATTAATTGCAAAGTTGTGAATCTTCGCACGACGACGGACCGCAGGTGTTTTCTCATTAGTGAGCTTTCTATATTATTCATAAATATGCATTTTGCTGTTGAAGTTAATCCGCCTCTGAAATTTATAATAAATATTTAAAGTGGCTTTGTTTATCCAAGCAGATTGTATAATTTAGCGAGCCAAGTTGCCTATAACTTTCATTCTATTTCCATAAATAAAAAATCGGATTTTCTACATTACATCGCGAAAGTAGCTTGAACGATTAAATACTTACTTTCCCCTTTTTATCTCTCCCTTTTTGCCAAAATATATAGCGTCCCAATCTCAAGTGAACAATGATAATCATAGGAGTGTATGAGTTAATAGTTAACGATTTGCTAGGTGGCAATTATATATACAAGTCAATTTGTCTTTATTTTCTGGTTACTATAATTTTCTAACTCTCAGTTTAGGGACTTAAGTTGTTTAAGTGCAATTTGCCCTCCACTTTATTGTTGTTTATGCGTATGTTATAAAAGAGATGTTAAGCAGAAAGCAGAAATAATTAGGTGGCTGGATAGCATATTAAGTAGGTACCTTTCCCATTCAGCAACATGTTATAAAACACTGAAGATCGAATGGCTATACTTGCAGCAGATGACTATATAACAGTGGGTGAAACTGGCGCTTCTCTGGCTCAACCCCGCCGCATAAACGGCCAGCTAGCTCAGGGTTATTAAATGAAAAGGGTTTGAGAACTCTCACAGCGGTTACATCGGTCTGGGTATATGACCTTCTTGCTTAGAATGAACGCCACCGTTGAGTGTTAATCTTCACTCAACGGCGCCACCCAGTGACCCAGCTTCTCTAAAAGTTAATGTAGCCCTGCATAAAACTGGAAGGATTCTACGAAAGGACAGTAATGACATCCAATCCGAAGATATTATCCTTCAAGGACAATTAAAATAAATTTAATAAATGTAAATTAAGTTTCCCCTCACAATAAAGACATTTTCCGCGAATTTCACACATTTACGTTACTCACAGTTAATTTCCATAAATGAATACAACCTCTGATTTAATAGTGGTCGAATAAATTGATTTATGGGATCTCACAACGATTCTTAATAAATTAAGTGAAATTCCGGGCAAAAATTTCGCAGGGATAATGCTATGTACAAGTAACAATATAAGAACAAATCTTACCTTGAGTAATGCAGGACGCTGACGCTTGAGGTGAGTTCAATTCCAAAATTCGGTCCGGAAAACCTAGAGCAAATCGAAACTTACGAGCCACATGGTTCGGGATCTAATGAACCGATGAATGCCAGAAGGGACTTGATGTAGGTACATACTTGTAATTCGCTTCTGTATCGCTTACGTTTCTCAAATGTACACTACACTTCAGGAATCTAGTGTACCTACTCCGAATATTAACGCGTTCAAGGGTCGATCATATATCGAATGTTACAATGAAGTAAGTACGAACCATAATATTGTTCAACTGATTAGTAAGGTAGTCGTTATAAATTCCTCGAAGAGCAGGGGCGGACTTATAACTTTTGATTGAGAAGTCTGATCGAAAAAGTACGAATTTTTGGTGTAGTCGATTTTTTGGTAAAAAAGGAAGGTTTATACACTGCCTTTTTTTGAGCCCCGAAGAAAAAATTGTCTCAGATCGACCTGGAAAAAAAATTTTCTTATAGAATGTGGCCTGTAGAATCCATAATTTCAAACAGTTCCAAGATTGAGCTACTAGTTCCAAAGTTACAGCCCTTTGAATTTTCTTTCGAAATTGGTTTCTAGTCTATAACTTTTTGATTGAGAAGTCTGATCGAAAAAGTACGAATTGATTTGGATTCTACGCACCCAAATTAATAAGAAAAAGTGTTTTCCCGAGAATTTTTGGTGTAGTCGATTTTTGGTAAAAAAGCCTTTTTTTGAGCCCCGAAGAAAAAATTGTCTCAGATCGACCCGGAAAAAAAATGTTCTTATAGAAAATTACCATACAGTTTTTTTTTTAAATTGCAGCTGATAATTAAAAGTAACAAAATATACAATCCACACGAGGTGCGTCGCCTATCATTGTATTTCAGCACTTTCATGCTACGACAAAAAATGATAAATTCATTGTAAAACACTTCAATTAAAACAGAATTTTTTAACAACCTAACATCAACCCCAATTAGAGAAACGTGTTAATAATTTATTAATAGTGCAAGAAACTAAATACAGCACATACTTATAAATTTCCAACGGGCCATTATGATCTACAGGCCAGGTCCAGGTGGCAACCGCCCCCCCCCCCGGGTAAGTCCGCCCCTGTCGAAGAGGATTCCGCCAAATAGTTATTAATTATAATTAATTCAACCTCAACAATCTTGACACATTGACTTAGTTTTTATCTGCTCGGGAGTTGCCGTCTACAGATTATCTCACGTGCCCTTGCAGTTTTAAAAGTGCTTGAAGCTCTTTAGAAGTGCTGGAAATTCTTGAAGCACTTCAATAGAGCTTGAAGCCCCAAGCACTTTTTAAAAGTTCTTGGTAATTCAAGCACTTTTCCATAAATTAGAAAAGTAATTGAAGCCCTTTAGCAAGCACTTTTTGTCAAGGCACTACCCACCTCTGTCTGGTAAGTAGTTTCTACAAACCCGGTCAAACCGGTTCACTTGGAAAACCTCTATGGTACAATCACAATTAAAGTTTTGTGTGTTGAAATTGAAACGGCTGGCAGAGCTAATTGATGTCGAAAATAATTCAGCCAAAGAAAAAAAAGGAGCAAGTAACGAGTTTTTAATACATACTTTTGATAAAACTGTTGACGTTTGGTCCGTTAAGGTTGGAGTCTGCATTAAAACGTTATGGAGAATCTGCGTGCCTAATTTTCAGGCGAACCAGTGAACCGAATTTGTTGAAATTTTTAGTGTAGTAAATTAATATAATTCTACACAAAATGAAGAATTTTTAAATAAAAATTTCAATTGGTTTGTGAATTACAACCAAAAACTAATCCTTTTTTCAAAAAAACTTATTACGAAAATGAAAACCAAAACTTTTTTGGCGTTTCGTTTTCCTGAAAATTAGGAACGCAAATTCTAATAATTAATGAGATATAATCTCTGATATAATTTCACTCCTATCTACATAATAAATTAAAACATTGTCCAATGATATGCAAAGTTTGTGTAGAGACACGCGTTGCACTTGTATTATCACAGAGGTAGATACATACCCACCTACCTCCGGTATAACACACAATATTTGTACTTCTCGAATATAAAGTCGAGTAAAGAATATAAATTCATTATGTACCGTTGCGTTGATAAAGGACTCGTTATTCAACATTTATATAATTAGGTTATCAATTACGAGAAATGAAAAGACACACACTACCGAACCCAAATTTGTGATAGGTAAGTACATGCATCGTTTGATTGAATTAAATCGATTTATATTACCTTTTTTGCGCATTTTTTTGCAAAGTGATTTTATCCATGATGGTTTTCTAATGAAGTCTTTACGAAAAAAATTGATTTCTATCAATTACCGCCCACCTCCCTTTATCGAGATCGTTTACTTTATCGCTACTTTATACCTCATTATCGCAGTACACTTTATAGGGTGTCATTGAATTTATAACTATCAGAAGCGCAGGTTAAATGGCAGGATATGTGACTGTTTTCAATAGTTTAAATTACTAGACGTAGATGTCTCTACCATCGAGAAAGATGAATAATAATGTCAGTTTTTTATCTTTGTTAATTATTATACAGGAATCTGTAACGAACCCACTATCTCGATTTGTAAATGTCGCATACAGAGTTCTTGATACTAACGAAACGTTTGTAATTCATTTATTTGGCACATAAGCACGTATTATGAGTTCGATGACGCAAGATAAACATTCGTCCTTTCATGAATCGTGACCTACTCAACATTCCATAAGGAAGATTGAATTACATGAGAGCAAAAAACCCACGTAGGCGTCCTTGATCAATTAAACAATATGGTCAGAGAATATGTATGTAGTTACTCTAATATTTCAATGATAAATGCATTGCATTTATAACTATCTATAAATTCAATGATAAATGTTAAAAACACAATTGGGAAGGTCTACATAGGTACAAATCAATGGTACATCTATTCTTAATTTTGTACCCTCCAAACTACCTTAGGATCATATTTTCTTTTAAAATCTCACGTATTTTTGAATATTCCTAATCCATGGAATGCATTAAAAAATAATTACCTAGTGCAAACACGTTACACGAAGTTCGTATTAACAATTAAAAATTGATAATTCTCTATCTAAACCCCATAACGCGTTGTGGATAGGTACTGCAATTTACTCCGAATGCAATAAGAGTTTAGTTTTCCGGCAAATGGATAAAACAAATTAGGTAACCAAAACGCCTTCTCGACAGAATTAATTGACCCACAATCAGAAGCCAAATCCCATGCGCTCCTGCTTCGCGGGTATCTTTATTCGCCCATGTCACTTGCATAATAAAAGTGATTAAGTGATATTATTTCCTTTAAAGTACTTAGGTAAATTTTTCGCGCATTTTTCAAGAATAAAAAAAAGGTGCCTTGTTTGCGTTTTGTCCATCCGTCCGGACCCACTTCTGCCGTTTCGAACTACTTCTAAGGGAATGGTCCTAGAGTCCTGGAATTTTTTACAGTAGGTGGCCTATACCTTGAAGGTGTGCCAGACGGCCGTCAAATTTCACTGTCTAAAAGGGGTTCCCTCCACGAATTATTTCCTGAGATGTTGTTTTTGAAAGTAAAACGTGCGTAACTTTTACATACGACAACCAATTGGTCTCAGATTTTGCATACGCATGCCATTAGTGGTGCCAAGTTAAACTTTAGGAAATAGGGGGGGGGGGGCACACACGTTCTACCTTTCATGGTATTGTAATACTCTCATCGAAATAAATTAGTTTGTACAAACTATAACTTTCCGTTGCGACTCTTTCGAGATCTGTGAGCGACGGGCCCCAAAGGGGTGGGGGGGTAAAAGTTAATTTTATCTCTCATTGTATTCTAATTAAAGGTCTCAACGAAAAGAACCGTTTTCTACCAACTACTGCCCTTCCTTCTGTCCTCTTATCAAAGTACGGGGTCTCAACGAAAGGAATTAATTTCTGCCAACCACAGCCCTCCTCCTCGACCTGTTATCGTGATTGGGTATATTCCCTTATACCTACCTCAAGAACGGATTGTCGGAAGAGCGCACTCACAAAGGGCGATTGAGACGTCTGCAAGAAATATATCCATTGGTGATGTAAAAGCTATTTTGGTTAAAAAAAATGAGCTTTATCTGCACAGGAGTTGTGCACAATTTATGCTTATTATTTATATATAAGAGTGGAATATATACACAACGCGTTTTGGTTAATTTTTTTACCTGTTCATCGGGCACGTTTACTCTGATAGCATTCTGCGTCAGCTGCTGTGCTCACAACACATTATGGGTATAATTTTCGGATACTGTCGAATTTCGGCTATTGAGAATAACTATACTAAATACACATTTTACCGCCAAATCTTATAATGAATAGTTGCGTAACTTTTGTGGGGCGATCAAGCACTGTAACCAAAGTTACACCAAAAAAAATAACTCAACTCAGATCTCCAAGTTTGTATTAAACCGAGATTAAACATGTTGAAGATTTTCTTAGTGAAAATATTAAAAATCCTTTTTTATTGTAGGAGAGGAACATAAAGTCACAAAAATGTATATATTGAATTTATAACTAATTTACATATGGGCAGCCCTCATTTATAACGTTTTGACTAACTAACCAAGGACAACGTAATAAAGTATACATATTAAAAACAACAAACTTTTCTTCTTGTTACAGTTGAAGTAGTAGCAATACGTTCCAGGCATGTTACGTTAGATTCTTTTCGGATGTAAGTAATGACGAACCACTGGACTTAAACTTACCTAGATCAAATATATTTAATAATTTGTAATACATTAAAATATGCAACTTACAGTGGTATAAAATAAATCCCGAGATAAATCTTTTATCCGAAATGGTGGAAGTTCCAATATTACATCATTTAGTTAGGCACTACACATCTAATTTCACAAAACTTGTCCTAAAAATGTACATGTAACATCACACCATTGATATTTGAATTTGTAAGTTATAACGTCAATGATTATCTCGACGATTACACCTCGGATTACACTATATAAAAAGTCGAGTAAAAAGTACTTCACTTTAAAACAACTTAACACTAAACTAATCCCTACAATTTATCATTGAATTTATAACAAATTCAAGGAATTTATGATAATGTACCATTAATACCACTTAGCCCGACTTAGCAAAAAGTAAAAGTTCAACAATCAACAAGCACACGTTAGAATGTCACTGACTAAACATAAATCACAATCGTCAAAAGCTACACAAAAGACACACTTATTTACGCGACGCTGTGTAAGGTATTTATTTTTAGAACATTCCAATCATATTTATAAAAACAAAAAACCATCCTGACATCTAACTATTAGAAGGGAAAACTTTCGAATTACAACCTACATTACTTACATTGTTTGTAATGCTGTCATCTACTGCCCGAGTGACAAAACAACAATACTAGTTTAAATGCAACGCCCACGGACTTTCAAACGATCGAACTGCTCGTAGCGGCGGAAAGTTTTGACATGGTCACAAACTGTTGTATGGGATCGGCGCTTCTGATAGTTATAAATTCAATGGTGTTGTTTTTAAGTGGACTATTAGAAGTATTTTAGGAACGGTTTGGAATTTCGATTCGGGATTCATTACTTTTTTTGAATAAATCGATCAAAAGGAATCATTCACAAATATTTTCAAGATGGTCGATTTTCCAGTTATAGGTAATAGAACGGTACCGGAACTTTCTTACTTCAAATGGCACTATCTTTTCTGACGAGGATTTTCGAATTCCTCTTAGAAAATCAATATGACTTTGTCAATATGATGCTATGTCTAACTGACATGGTTTCGAAGTTATTTGGCATTTTTGACATTTTTTCACAGTTTCAGAGTTTCAGTAAATTAGCCATATCACTGTTGTGTGACAACTTAGCAAAATGTTTTTTTCACGAATGGACAGCTAAATGTCTACGCTATCAAATGTTATTGGTCTGATTTTCAAGTGTGATTCGAAATACGAATAAGCGTTCAAAGGTGACAATCGGTTTTTGGTTAAAAACTCGAAACTCACTATGCATCAATGGAAAGAGATTCAAAAACCGGCAAAAAATGTACTTGCAAAATTTTTCTAAAAAAAACTAAAAAAATTGTCCACATTTTTCAAGTTAGCTATCCATTCGCAAAAAAACATTTTGCTAATTTGTCAGACAACAGTGATATAGCTGATTAATTACTGAACCTCTGAAACTGTGAAAAAATATGTCAAATTCGAAACCATGTCAGTTAGAGATAGTTACGGAACCGCTCAAGGACCAAGAGGTGATATTTTCTGTTCAACCCGGCCGGCCGACTTGTAATTCGGCCAAAGGACCTTAATTCGATTGACCGAGTTTAAACTCCTCAGCTTCTTCCATATTTTTTAATTACACTCTAATGCAGTGGTTCTCAAAGTGGGTGCCGTAAAATTTTGTAATATTTACATACATAATTAAGCTAAAATTACTTAAATAAAAAAAAAAGAATTAAAACAATTATAAAAAATGAATATTACTAATATTAGTTTTTTTTAATTACAATTCTGGTTTTTTATGTTTCTATTTTAATTATTTCTATGGTTAATCGAAGGGTGGCGCCGTTGCAGTTGCGCTACACACCCTGCTATTAGATTGTAAAGATCGCTTACAAAGCGGCAAGCTAATACTTATTATTAACAATAATCTTAGATTCATTTCATTTAGTTTATAGCATATGTTAAAATGACATTTTAATAGGTTTGAATGAGTAGGCTAAGGGTGGAATTCATAGACATTACATAAGTTAGACTTACACTTTACTAAGTGCACACTTAGTTTAGTTTAAGTGGAACTTATATTTACTGCTAGTATCTGTCCAAATTTCGCGCGTTACTATAGCAATAATGTCATGCGTCACCTTAACTATATCTTTGAATACCACTGAGTACGCGCTAAGTATGAGTAAAGTGTAAGTGTAACTTAAGTAATATCTATGAATTCCACCCTTAAATCGCTCTTTAACCGTGAGGGTAGATAGTCATCACTTTAACCGCTAGGGTAGATAAAGTGAAACAGTCGATTGTGCATTCTAATGACATCTGTCATTCCTACTTCAAATGTCATGCAGAGTACGATATAAAATAACGGCTGGAATATATGACAAGAAGTTTCTATGGAAACGACTGCGACGACAGAACGTAAGCTTGCTATTTTTGAAGTCAAAATTAAATTGAAATCAGAAACTCTATAATGATTTATATGGCTTCTGCTATACAATTAAGTTTTGTATTGTACAAGACGATAGAGGGAAACTAACCATCTCGTGAAAGTTTAACATCTTTCACTCAATGGTTAAAATATCCCTTTATCGTCTTATATAATAAATAAATATTACACCGCAGTTATTAAATACGTTTTAAATGTGTCCTATTTTAGTCAATTTCAAAGACACATTCACATTGGCTATTTTAATGCTACCTATCATTTCTTTCAAATCGGCAAAGCTCTTTAAAAAATCGTGAACCTTCGGCTGCTGAGCGTTACGCGTGACGATCACAGAATATAGAAACAGAACGATTAGTTTTTGCATATACCATTTCAGATTTTGTAAAAACTTTTTAAATTCCAACCCCTCCGAACAATTCCGTCGAAAAATGCTGATCTCGAGTTCAACGAAATTTCTTATCTAGGTCCAACGGCAATTTTGTTGTTTTTAACGTGTTTCAAGATCTTTAAATACTGGTTTTATTATGACGTATGTTGTGTGCGACGGAATAATTTAGAAATCTAACCATTTTTACCTTGTCGTTTATAATAATAATAAATCGTCTTTATTGAACATGTTCCCTGGCGAAATCTAGCTCAATGTTATTCTATTTAACCACAAAGCATGGAAATAAGTACACAGATTAAATATGCACAACACAATAATCAAATGAGGATAAAAGTATTAAAAAAATCAAAACCAAACCACAGCAATATATGTACATCTGCAAGAACTCTCCAAATTATGATGTACTTAGATAGATATGCCTTTAAATGTTTTTTTAAATATTATTTCAGCGATATTCCTTGAAGAATGTGGGAAGAAAGTTATAAAGAATTATAACTGAAGCTTTTTTGAAATATAGAATCAGAAATCGAGTTGTGTGAATGTGCCCTCTGGCGCCTTTATTTTGAACTCGACGCAAAACGTGTACTTTTTTGTAGATCTCATATAGATACATCTTTTTTGTAATAACATTTTTCACTCTAATGCTCACTTTTCGAGAAAAATTCAAATTTAGAAAAATAAGAAAGTTGGAAATGCGCATGCGCAAACCTAAATTTTAAAACTAATGTTAGATTTTCCTTTGTTCCAAGCGCCTAAGTATCAAATTTCACTTAAATGGTTACATAGATAAAAAAGTTGGCACTGCGCATGCGCAAAACCAAATTTTGAAACTGGCGTTTGATTTTCCTTTATCCCAAGTGCCTATCTATCAAATTTCTTTAAATTCTTCCATAAATAAAAAGTTGGCACTGCGCATGCGCAAAACCAAATTTTGAAATTGGCGTTTGATTTTCCTTTATTCCAAGTGCCTATGTATCAAATTTCATTAAAATACTTTTATAAGTAAAAAAGTTTGCAATTCGGTTTATAAATGGTCGAGATGCGAAAAGGGCACTGTGAATTTTGAATCGATTCGATTCAACTTTTGGTTTTGCGTATTATATGGCTAAAGCTATACCCATATTGAATTTCATGCAATTCAGTTCATAACTAACGGAGATGTAAAAGCGATCGAACATTTCTAAACAAAGTTATCGTTCACACGGACAGATAGAGGGACAGACAGACAAAGGAACAGACGGAGAGACCAACCGGCAGGCGACAGATAGCAATGCAAAATTATAAACGATCTCTAGGATCGTTAATAAACGGCAAAAGGGTAAAATTATGGAACATGTAAAAAACGGTTTTTTGTTTTTTTTTACAATAACTTTTTTTGTAAGCGGTACAGAAAAAATTCCTTCCTTGGTACAAGACTCGACACCATAACGAACCAAATAGCGAAAAAGTAGAACAATAGCTCTTAAGATAAAGAACTAGTAGCGTCGCAAAACGAGCGGACGGACGGACGGACAGCCGGACGGACGGACGGACGAACAAAGTGGCCACAATAGCGCATTTTTTTTATTTTTGTGGAAATGCGCTAAAAACTGCTGAGATTTCAAACGAACGAACCGGACGTACCGAATTCATAGGCGTTTTTTTCTTGTACAATACGCTAAAATATTTTCTAAAGAATTTACAAAATCCTAATTAGAGCTTGCACTGAAAAGAGGAAACTACGTTTGCAACAAGGAGAGAGTAATGACAATGTAGAGGGGACTGTGAAAGGAGTGCAGGAATTACGGGACAAACTTTAGAAGCTTAATGTATCATTAAGTTATAAGTATCACATTTATCGATCCGATAACATTATATCTCGCACGAAATTTAAAAACGAACAAAATTGTGTATCAAATCCCTCGTAAACCTTTTTCTACAAACAATTTCCAAAATTTGAATAATAGCGTTACGTAATCCCATCCAATCAAGTATTATGCTAACCATTTTGCTCTCAAGCGTATAGCGCTTATTGAATAAATTGTCTGCGTGTACAGTTTAGATAATAAAAATAAAAAACTTAGGTCCCTAATTGGTTTAAGATTCCACTGCGATGTTATAACATATACCTATTACCTAAACGTGACCTCAACTTATAATTGGTTTCAATTTTCCTGATTAATCCACGAATTCACTTTAGGAAAAAAAAACTAGTAACATTTGCCGCTTGATGACTATAATGGGCCATTAGTGAAGAAGGAAACATTCAAGAGTTGTTAATATTGGCAAGTTTCATCGTAATTGGAGTCTCATTGCAATTAGGTATAGGTAACTGAGACTTAGCAAACAGTTTAGATTCATTTTAGTGATTTACTCAGCATTAATAGTGTAATAAACCTCTCACAGTATTATTACCAGTAGGTAAGTAATCTGTGTGCGGTAAATAAGTGAAAATGCAGACCAGAAAATGTCAACCTTAATAGGTAATGTAAAAAAGCGAATTAGAGATCTATTATAACAGAAACAGGAGTAATATCAAATAGATGTAAAATGTTTGTAAGAATAAAATCGTTATGAATTTCAAATGCGGAAAATTCAGTAGGTACAGAATTTTGTTTAAGGAACGTGATGGGAATCCTTCCGCCGGCTATTTTTGATCATAATGTATAGATACTGATCTTATTTGGGCATATTTTTGTGCTCAGTTTGAGCTATTTATTGCCAAAGGTTGCAAAGGGTGTATTTCCATACAAAGAGAACAATTATCGAATAGAATCATGTCAGAACCCCCTATATTTATGCACTTTGGAAAATTATATGAAAATCTTACGTCGTTGATACCCACATTTCCTATCCCTAGTATCAAGGTTTCCTCGACGTCTTCAAGTTATTAAAGACTTTTCAAAAATTTTTGATTTGAACCAGCTTTTTTTTTTAGTGCCCTGTACGCTATGGAATCCGTAGGACTTGGTATTTTCAAAAGTCTTCTAAAATCAATAATTACCGACGTTTGATGCTACATGCGAATGATTTAAATCTTTGCGTCGCCCTTCTCAGGGCATTATAAAACAAATGACCATTTAATAACTTCAAAACCTTAAATTAGTTTGATTTTTTCAATGAAAACTGCTTAAGTTTTTTTTTTGGATTTTCAAATGTCGAAAAAAATTCTTACATCGATGAATTATACGTTTCCCTATATCTAACTGTATTTATGCTTTCGTTTTTTTTAAAATTGTGACCGGTAGTATTACATAATTTTCTCTCTGGAGACAGTCCAGGATAAGGGACTCAGGATTAGTAGAAAAAAACGGAGTACAGGAGAGGACAGTATTGGTGGCATAAACCTATTGGAACAGAGTGACAATGGGGAAATGGACAGGGAAATTAACCACAGGATCCAAGCAAGGTGGATGGATTGGAAACAGATGACGAGAGAAGAGATTAAACAAAGGGTGTTGAAATATGTAGTGCCGCCAACCATGATCTGGCCGATAAAGAAGGCCTACGAAAAGAAATTGTAGGTGACTGAGATGAGAATGTTAAGGTGGACGATGGGAAAAACTAGGAGAGATAGGATTCGGAGTACAATAAATGAGATGGCTCAATAGCGAAGTGGCAATGGTTTGGACTTGTAATGAGGTAAGGGGGAAATGTTGGAAGAAGTTGGCAGAATGCAGTTGGAGGAGCGAAGGCGGTGAGGAAAACCAAGAAGAAGGTGGAAGGACGGGATGGGATGGATGAAGTGGACGTGTGGGACAGAAGAGTGTAGGAGTCAGGAACAGCGACCCATCATAGAAAAGGGAAACGCTGAGGACGAGAATTTCTACTGTGGCTTGTAAAGGCCGGACTTCATGGCTCGCTTCATTTGATACCCGTGGTACGCTATGTTTGCTAACATGAACAAGAAAGAGCACAAATTTAGTAGAATATGTACTCGTAGTATAAGTATATATTACATAGATTTATGCAGCATTAGTACCTAGATTGAATCAAAAGGGTAAATGTCATGTGAACCGGACTGTACCAACTTCATTTCTCGCTCTGTATGACAACGCAATAAATAGGGCAAAATTAGCACCTAATTATGCGATACTAACGATAAATACATATTAGATCGGTGGGTACGGCACCGTGAAGTTGGCAGTACCGATCATGTTGGCGTATACGGTTCCCAAGACAAAAATGAGTGTTTCAAACGATAGGGTTAGGCTACGGTTACTGCAATTAGTTTTTAAAATTTGCATCAGGATTGCAAAAAAAATCATTAAAAAAGGAAAACTTTCAAGTAGTATCTAATCTTAAGTTACATACTTAAAATTTAGGAACGTGTTTTTTTCAACGATGTGGTAAAAGTTTTGAGAAGAAAAATATTTGCATACTTATATGATTAGATTGTCTACCTAAACGTGGTGACATCTTAGTGTATGTAGACAGCTTGTTGTTACAATCTTACAAAACCTTTTGCAAGATCATCGCTGATAATTGCGAAAATATTAAATAAAGGTAAATATACGTAAAAGTGATAAAATCACATAGCGATTTGCAAAAGAGGTTCAAAAAACTTATGTTCAAAGGTGGTTGCACTTGTATAGTTATGGCCTTCAGAATTTGACTCAGACTTGACAATAGTAATGTAACGTTTTCAATTCAAACAACGAAAAAGATTTAAATTTTTGAGGGGGACAAGTTTAGATTTTTTTAAGCTTGTCCCGGTTTAACACTTCGTTCATTTAGGAGGTGCACCTCCAAACATCCCAAAGGTGGTGTTTATTTTCCTCAATTCCCTCGTATATTACATGTTGTCAGTGTAGTGAGAATCATTTTTGATTTTTTCCAGATATGTTCGAGGAACTGGTTAGGTTTTGATAGCGGATCAAGTAGCTTATGCATCTTATAGGTTATTGGTGTAGCTCGACAGCTTCGTTGCCTGTATTTTGCTAGTAGGTATTGTTGGTTTGAGTATCTTTTCATTGAGCGGGTGTTGGTGATTTTACTTGTACATTTTAAACACATTTAATAATAATAGCTAGGTCGTCCGGCGTTATGCCTTTATTTATACGATCTGCTATACCGTTAATTATAATAATAAGATAATAAGTAATCTTATAATTAAAGAAAAAATTTAAAAAAGAATTACGGTCAAGTCATTGGCAGTACCTACCATTAGTCTGTAAGAAAAATGAGCTTCATTCATCCAATCGTTACCTAGTTATATCTGTAGCAAGTTCGTGAAAAATCGACTAGAATTGTTTTTCAAAATGTTCGCGATTTTTTAAAATATTTTTTTATGATATGATTTTTTTATGATTTATGATCAATTTTAGCATACTCGGATAGGCCAAAGTGGAACTCCGTCGGTTAAAATTTTGATCGCTCTCGTTCAGTTCGAGCTATCTCTCTTACTATTGCCAAATCTGTTCCACTTTTTGATTACCTCATTGTTTGAAGTTTTGAATGAATCCACAAGTTAGAAGATTTAACTTTGACATTTCCTTCACATATGCCAACATTATCATTGCACTTAAGTCTTTGTTCGTAAGTATTATAGCTTCCTATTCATCCAGGAACACAACTTTTCAGTTATTTATAATAGATTTTACTGGATTTGGATTTTACACTTACCAACTTTTCTTTAGATTTTACAATACATTTGTGTACATGTTATTAAAAAAAGCTAATGCTTTTACTTTTTTGCGTATATAGGTGGTTTAGAGATCATCCCAAAGGTGACTTCGTCGGCTCCAGGGCTTGTGTTAGATAGAGCAGTTTCAGGAAAGGTTCGTTGTATACTATTATTCTTTTTGGCTATCTGAGCAGGTGTCTGTTTCTTCTTCCTTATTTTCTTTATTTGTAGTATATTGTGTGTTCCCATAGCATAGACTGTTTCATAGTACATACCAGTACCAAGTAGTTTTTATATTCCTCGTAGGTAGTACTTTCGTACGTTATTATTGGTAGCTGTGATGGTCGATTCTTACCCGTTATGCCTTCTTATTGCTCCTTTTTTATCATCAGCTGCTTTGGCTATTAGTTATTATTTAGTAGGTTATTGTTTTTCCAGTAATCTTATTGTTTCTTTAAAATACCAATTCTACGTAGAAATAACAGTAATCTATTGACGTCATCAGTTGTATATTAAAAAAACCGGCTTTGTGGTTCAGTGGTAGAGCGTTGGGCTATAAATCCGGAGGGCGGGTGTTTGTTGAGGTAAATCTGTGGCAGAGATGGGAAGTACCTTAGACCAGCTTCGAGCATTCTGCCGGCTACTCCGAACAGAACAACTTAAGACATTCTGCAGAGGCACCTCTAGAAAGCATTATGCCGGTCAGTCTGTAATTGGGCGCAAGCCTGTTGAGGGCCTAAAACAAGAGCGGGATAATAAATAAATAAAATAGATAAATAAATAAAAAAATAAATAAATACATAAATAATGTCGCAGTATCAAGGTAGAGATCGTTTGACGCTTAACAGCTTCCGCCATTTTTTCCAGCTAAAATACTTTCCGCTAGAATAGTGAGCGAAAGGTGGGAGTAAAAGCGCGCATCTACCGTGAGAGTTAATTTACCTCAGTTAATCGGCTGAAATATGGCGCTGGGAACAACTATGTGTAAGCGCTGAAAACAGTTGAACGCGCCCATAGACACATAACTCCACATTGATCGCATTCATTTACTCCTACCTTCCCTAGATACATGGGTAAGGTTAGTATGGTCTATTCTGGCGTTAGCGCTGTAGATTCTCGCCTTGTATGCATTCTAGGTTTCCATGACTATTGGGTACTTTCAGAATGCTATTTCGCTTGTCACAAATTATTGATATTAGTCTTTATACTATATTTAAAATCTTCAGATAGAACGGGTATCTACATTCGTTAAATTGTTTCCGTTTCGTGCGAATTTGTCGGCCCCTTCATTACCGATGATACCTACGTATCCAGGCGTCCATATTATTACTACCTATTTATTATATTATATTTTATTGCAGACATCATATAACAATGACATTTTTGCATTCTCTAAAGTGTTTATACAAATCAGATATAAACGTATAATATTACAATCGGTGCTCGAATTGATTTCCACCGGCAACCAAACAATACCCGATACTCGGCACTGAATAGCTCGCATTACCACTCAGCTAGAGAACAATTTGCGTAATGTAAATTTCTTTATGGCCCATTTTAGATAACTCAACGCTTTTACATTGCGTTATGCTAGGTGTGTACTTTCTACGGCCCATCTTTAAAAAAACACCCTGTATAAATACAATTTTCCTGAAAATTTCATAAAAATTGATCAAAAGTACATTGGGTGTTCAGGTACTTATGCCGGGCAGTAGTATATATGGTGGTGGTTTGCTATTTCTTGTAGGTACTAATGGAGCATGAATATCAAATAAATTCGTGACCTGTTTATTAAATTTAGAAACTTGTACATTTATATGAATACTGTTTACCACTGAGTTCCAATTCATACTTTTAATGTCTTCAGCGATTAGATCAATCTTTGAATAATTTCTGTGATACTCCTGGTAGGTGGAGAATAAGTTCGCAAGCGCCCTCTTTTTTAATGCGAGTAACTTGAGTTTGTGCGCGTGGCGCGTATTATTTCTTCACAGGGCGCATACGAATTCTATACCCCAAAAGAAGAAGTCCACACCACAACGATTACTATTTGGACGAAAGCTAACGAATGTGGGACCCTCTACTCTGTACCGGCGGAATCGGTCTTTCTATCTATACCTACCTATATTTTTACTGCAGTGAACCAACAAAACATAAAATGATTGGTTAAAAATATAAAAAATGTTTATATTACAAAATATAGACGTTCGGAAAATATATATATAATTCTCCGAAAAAGTTTATATATTTTTCTAATTTTGACATCTAAAGGGACACTTTTTAAAACTGGTTGACGTTGTCAAATGCCTAGTTGTGAAAAATAAAATATTTCGCAACTGTTGATGAAAAGTATCACTTAAAATGTCAACATTAGAAAACATATTGTGTGAAACACGTTGGGAAACACTACTATTCGTAACTCGCTTAGCTCGATTCCGCAGAAATCCGCTCGTTGCTTTTCCCAACTAGTTGCACAAATAACTATTGTTAATATGTCTAAAATAATTTGCGGTTTTACTTATGTTGCAATTTATTTATATTTCGCCACTTATAGAAAATGTCGATCAAAAATGTATTCACAAGAAATATGGAAAGTATCTTATATGTACTGTTGCTGATACAAAGTTAAGCCCATAAGTTATGTATGAATCAAGACAGTATGCTCGAAACTGTACAACCTAAACCACGAAGAGTTTGGGCGAGTCCATCCAAAACACTTTTGAGTCCATTGCAGCCTTGTGCACTCAAACCCAAAATTTCATATATTGTGTCGGCCAGATATTTGTACATGGTTTGCTTTTCTGCATCAGTTAGTGTACATTTCAATTTCATAGCTGCCAGCTTCGTTTTGAACCGAGCAATTGTGCAGTTTGTCACACGGTTTATGTCTGTTTGCGTACATGCTGAAAATATAAGTTTCTATAATAACTAAAACTAGAATTACTAAAAAGATACATCTCATTTTACTTTATCAGACAAAGTGATGATAATGCACCTTCCAAATAATATAAATCTGGTTAAAATTATAAAAATTTATACCTTGCCCAGTAACTTCCTGATAAGAGACAGAAAGTAGGACCACAAGTACTACAGTATACACACCCACGTACATCTTTCTGAAGATAATGCGCAAGACATGAATACATCTTATATTTATATATTCTAATTGCACAGTCAACGAAATCTAATCTTTACATGAGTACATAAAAAATTTGTACAACGATATATTTCTCGAAATCTTCACTGTTCATATTTGGGTAAGTCGTTTCATAATTCGTTAACTTTATGGAAAAAAATAAGGTGATAACACGTATCCAGAATTGCGTACATACAGTAAGTTAATTATTATCACCTGCCGCAAGAAACATTTCGCGAATATGCATCATAGGAAAATCTAATTACCTACAAGTACAAGGGTTAAAAATTGTAGGAGGTGTAATGAAATTTAAAATGGAATGAAATGAGGGTTGGGAAGGTGGAGAAGATTGAGGGATTGATTGATTTCGTAGATCGTTCTTCTATATCATTGTAATGTTAATTGAATCTACGTACCTTGCTACACAGTACCGAATTATGTCACTTGGCTTGCGAAGAGGGTTTGATGATCCCGCGGCTTGCGAAAACGTGCCATGAACCTATAATTAAGAACTACACCTTTTCCACTTTTATTCGAGAAGTTGTAAATTGTATTTGAGAATTGTTACTTGTATTTGAGAAAACGTCAAAGTAGATGAGAATAGTCAGTTGGATTTGAGAAAACACCAAATGTATTTGAGAATAGTCAATTGTATTTGAGAAAGTATCTTTTAATTTTATTGTATTTTAGAATGTAATATTATTCCTAATGAATTATAATTAAGAATCAAATTTTTATAATTCCGCTACTGTATGTAGTCCCGCAACAGTAGCAGCAGCAGCATCAGGCTATGTTATACATGTGATTTTGTTATTGATTCTCAAATGCTTAATTTTACCATTTCTTGAATACAATTTACTACTCTCAAATTCATTTGATGCCTTCTCAAATACAAATCATTATTCTGAACTACATTTGTTGTTTTCTCAAATACATTTTACTATTCTCAAATACAATTGATACTTTCTCAAATTAACTTGATAGTTTCTCGAATAAAAGTGGAAAAGGTGTAGTGTGAGCGATTAATGCCGAAACATATTTTCCAAAGTGTTAATGCAATTCTATCTAAAACGGCAACTTATGGACAAAGGGATTCAAGCATTCAACATTGCATTGTCCATACAAATAACTGCTCTTCTAGGACAGTGGGTTGTGCCATGGCTCTAAGGCGAAGAGATTATAGATTATAGTTATATATATTTCTCTAACTTATCTGGGAAACCTAGTTACAAAGGGATACAATGTAACCTCCCCAAGAACGTTTAATGGGGGTCCGTTCACTTAGCCCAAAAATGAACCAACTTTTTGTATGTATTGTGCCTCAATTGCGCTCAATTATGCATTTATGCTCACCGTTTGTGTCTTTTTGGTTTTCGAGATAATCGTAAAAATCAAATGGTAGCTAAGTGACCGCTTAACCCTCCCAAAAATTAAACTTTTTGATAGTTGAACGACGGTATTGTGTAGTACTTCGATTGTGCGTGCTGTTATACTCATCGTTTGTGCCTTTTTGGTTTCGGAGATAAGAGGAAAAATGAAATGGGGGCTATGTGAACGCTTAGTCCCCCAAAAATTAAACTTGTTTATAGTTCAACGAAGGTATTGCCTGGTACCTACTTCGATTGTGCTTAATTGGGCTTTTATGTTCACGGCTTGCGGCTTTTTCGTTTCGGTGATATTTGTAAAATTCAAATTTCAACTTTTGCTTATCTTATACAGTACAGAATTTACTAGTACATATTTAGCTTTTGCGTTGATACTCACGATTCGTGCCATTTTCTTCCCTGATATATTTCTGAATACTTGCGGGGCTAACTTTATGTGCTTCTTTCTAATGATGATAGAAACGGTAACATATATAGGGTGCTACGTTACCGCAAAAAAACGTGAGCTAGAACGTGAGTATTAGAGGACCAAAACAATCATTAAAAAAAAACTGAGGATGGACAACGTTTCGTCTGTGTGGCAACACATAGAAGATCCTCATTATTCATTATTTGTTGTTAAGATCATCATAATTTGTTGCTAAGCGAGTTGCCAAGTAAATAATGTAATGTCAGAATAATAAAAATAAAATACAACGATCAATAGTACAATAACGGGGGTTCCAGAACTGACGTTTCCAGGAAAAAATTCCCGAAGTTTTTTTCTCAACGGTTTTATATGTATTTTGAACCGCTGAATCCGAAAATGCAAAAATGCCGCAAATAATTTGCAGTTTTTTGCGGCTGCCGCAGTTAGCTCACCTCTGGCGTGTTAGCAAAGTGCAAAATTCGGATTCAGCGGTTCAAAATACATATAAAACCGTTGAGAAAAAAACTTCGGATGTGGTTTTTACGGGTAGTAAAATCCATTCTCAACAGTCCTGGAGCTACCTTTGAAAAAATGCTTATCTACAAAGAAAATTATTAGAATTGCTCAATTTTTTTATCCAGATTCATTTTGAGGGGAGAAAATAGAATCTCAAATCAGTCCTAAGTCTTAGAACATATGCGTCGTGGAGTTACTACAAATGTTTCATAGATCTCATAGGAACGGCATGAATAAAAATTAGACAATTTTCAATATTTTCAAAGAGTAGGTAGGTATAATTTAAACAAGTTAGTCATTATGCAAACATAAATGACGAGAGCGTATTTTCCCCCTAATAATATTAATGCTAGGACCTGGAAAAAATACCGGTAGGCACGAGATCCTTACCCCATTCTCTTTCAAATGAGCTGCATATCGTCGAAGTCTATACAGTTTAATTAAAAATAGTGGAGCGTATACAAATACATACAAATTTTGAAATGGGCATTAGTTTTACTTTTATTCGAAGTGTCCACATATGGGACTTTTTATAAATGCTTTCCTAAATAGCATTGTGCATTGTCTACATTAGAAATTTCATAAACAGTAATTTTGAAACCGGTATTAGTTAACCAAAAAATATCGGTACGCAAGGAAAGTTGGACCAAGCTCTTTCAAATGAGCCCTATATTGCCCAAATCGATTCAGTGGTGTAGAAGGAATGCGTGTGACGGACGAACGGACGGACACACGGACGACAAAGTGCAACCAATAGCGATTTTTCACTTTGAGGAAAATACGCTAAAAATAAAGAAATATACACTATGCAACTATAAAATATAACCAGCTTTAAATAAGCCGTAAATAAAATTTATGGGTTACTGCCAACTGTCTGAGGACGGCAGTATACATACATCTTTTATGCATGTACGATCACCAACTAAAGTAATGATAATCAGAAGTTTACTGCCAGTTACGTAACCAACCCTACACTATCTAAAATGGCAACGTTGAAGTGTAACTTTTCCGGCGGGAATTCGTGTGGGATGGGCCGCACGGCGTCGCGCATTGTCGTCTTATAACATTTTTTGCGCAATCGGACATGTCTGGATATTTGCCATGTGTGTTTCCATGACAGTACGTGAAATTTACCAGTTGCTATAATTACTACGACGTGTATCTTATAGTATTTTTTATTATATCTGCAGTATAATTTAAAAATAGGAAATACAATGGAATCATATTGACGTTATACTCGAATACATGTCTAATTAAGTGGGCTGGGTTTTCGTAATTTTACGATTGCTATTCTTTTTTTCTAAATAATCTAACAAAATGGGTTTAAAGTCTCCTGTGACTGTGACATGTATTCGCCAAAATGTTTAGACATTTTCTTCCTATCCAATTCCTTTGTTGGTAAAGATATTATTTCTTCTACTCCCATCTCTAAAATGTCACATTTTGCACTGACATATAGTGCGCGAAGCGTCATTTTAAATACGACTACTCATTAGATACAGATTGGTGCCCGTTCGGGTGTTTTCGGCCATTATAACACGCCTGAAGTTTCATCTCGAGTTTCATTAAACAAGGCTTAAATTTTGGTGACTAAATCAAGTTAGTAGTTTGACGTTTGTCATGTTGACATTCATCGTATGGTGAATTCATGTTGTTCAAAAATGGACACAGAATGATAATGGAAGGAAAAATGTTATTTGCTATTTCTATTGCTTCTGAACCCTGTTCTGAACTAACGCAAAGAGCAACGGAATTCTCGTAATAGTATGTAACGCGTTTTATAATCATCTCTAGACACTCGGTATTAAACACTCGCGTAAACTCGTGTCGTTTATAAAACTTAATACATAATATTAATAGGTATACTATTAAGTCGAAAAAATCATTTTTCATTGTTAAGTCTCATGACTGTTGACAGTTCATTTATTTAGGGGTTAATAAAGATTTGTTATTTCTCGCTTTATTTGTTATACGAGTACATTAACGAAACATGAGAATATATCTGTAAAAAGTTTCAGTTCTCTGCATGTCGCAGTGGCATGCTACGGCAGTACGGGCTGCTTGATTTCTTCGCATAAAGATGCGAAGAACTGTTGAGGGTTATTTGTCTACCACCACGCAGTATTTCTAAGTGTTGCTATATGGTTGTTGCCACTCCATTCGGTTATTATCCAGTACACACTTATGAAAAAGTAATCTATATTTACTGCGGTCAGGTAGGGCTGTACGGCAGCCGGTTTTTTTTACGTTATACAGGGTATCCCGTGACTCGATGGACATGGCTTGACACCATATTCTTACTCAATTTGAAATCGAAATTTCCTTATACACTTTGTCTTGTCCAAAAGAAGTTATGGGCAATATTAAATTTAACAATAAATCAATCTAGTGGGCCATGTAATTGTTTATTTTTTGACGTAATTGTTTTCAGATCAAGAATATGCAGATATTGACTTTAGTTACGGATACTGTGACGGAAATCCAAGAGCGGCAGTGAGGGTTATCCTGATCGATCATTACCTAATAGGCCATATCAATTTAAGATTACGACGACAAAAAATAATAACAATATGATACAACAATTACATAGCCTACTAGATTGTTTTATTGTTAAATTTAATATTGCCCATGGCTATTGAGTTTTGGACAAAGTGTATAAGGACATTTGGACTTAAAATTGAACCAAGGAATATGGTGTTTTATAATAATAATAATAATAGAGTTTATTGTCCTACAGACTTTTCAATCCAATTATAGGACAAAGATAACATTATAATAGGTAGTGTACATAAATGTTAAATAAATCTAATTAAAAAAATAATATAATAAGAAAATTCACCTATATAAAAGAATTATTACCTGCATTATTAAGACAGAAAGAGAGAAAAAAAAAAATAAGAAAAAAAAAAGTAACTAAGATAAGTTAATTCGATATAAAGTTATAAAGATGCAAAAACAGAAAGAAAACACGAATTAAATTAAACTATTCATCCCTTATATAACTAAGAATACATTTCAATCTACAAAAATGTATGTCACAGTCTACACATCTTAAATTAAAGTTGTTGCACATAACATGAATAGGTGCACGCTGCAAGATGTTACTGTGCGACATATCGTTATAAAATGTGTGATGTTTTCTAGTCCGGTGCGAAGGTACATGGAAGTTAACTGATGATAATAAATATGAGCAATTTACATTATTGTGTAAGAGTTTGTAAAGAAAAGCAACACTATTTTTACATCTTCTTATTTCAAGCGACTCTACATTAAAACGATTGAGCAAATTGTTATGGTCGGTTCCTCTAACAGGGTATACTCCATCTAACTTAAAAGCCATATATTTAAGCGTCCTCCTTTGTATCGACTCTAATTTTGTGATCTGATAATGATATGTTGGGTACCATATTAAGGAGCAATATTCCAGTTTACTGCGTATGAGATGAAAAAATAATTTTCGAATTGGTGTTAAGCTATGTCCATCGAGTCACGGGACTATATAATGTTATATACGTGGTAGCACAAAAAAAAATTTTTAATCGGTGGTGGTAATGTTCACATGGATGATCAACAAAGAACACTACTATTAGAGGAATGTGAAATTCATCACATATTCTGATTTTGATATATATAGTATTGGAGATATATTTTCGAGACATTACTAATTCTTCCGAAAAGTGTTTTATTCTCGGTTTTATTATTTTATGATGAATAGTACACTTTCTTAATGTGACCATATTTACATTATTCCTAAACAAAGTACGTATTCATCTACAATAAATATTAATTTAAGGCAAATCCACACTGTATTGTGTATGTATAATTTCTTGGTTACAAGAAAATAAAGAGCTTATTTAGACTAAAAAAATTATCAAAGTCCTCGTGTGAGATCGAAGGGACTTCAGCGCATTTTTGTGTGGCAGATCAGTATTCTATTAGCCACTTTTGACTCCACCATCAGTAAGATCGTGTCGGAGGCTACCACATTCCCTTCGACGGTACCCACTTCCGACGTCCCGTTCCCCCGCAATTCGCGTTTGAAGATTTGACTCCACCATCACTAAGATCGTGTCAGGGGCTACCACATTCCTTTTGACGGTACCCACTTCTGACGCCCCGTTCACCCCAAATTCGCGTTTGAAGTTTTCACACCACCATCAGTTTGATCTTGTCGGAGGCTACCACATTTCCTTTTTCGGTGCATACTTATTACACCCACATTTTGGTGGATTTCGCTAAAAACCTTCCACAAGATAGTACTTAATTTTTGGGGGGCACTTCTCATTGCTCGAGCTTCTATTGGCGACACGGGAAAGAGAGACAGCGATTCGAGATTTACGAAACGTTAAACCGCGTGACAAATTTAGGTAAAAGGTGTCCGAAGTTGACTACCTCTCGAAGACGCGCGCGCGCGCCTTGCAAAAGGTCGTTAATTTCACCCCTAGGACAAAAAACAAAATTCCGCAGGAGTTGTGCGCGTTTACAACATCTTTCCGACGACACCAATTTGAAAAGAATCGGACCAAAACTGTAGTAGAAGATAGGAAAAAACTGAAAAACCTTCACGTTAGTATACTACGCTCGAGGATGACGCCCAGATGTCGCCAAACCCCACATCATGTAGCCCTGTCCCTAAGGTTGACAAATTACACGGCCTTGTAGATACATGTACACCCGTTGCTTTTCTACAAGAGTTTTTCTACGCGCCCACATTTGCTGCCAGCCAGCTAGCCGTCCAGCCAGCCCGCCAAAATGAGATTAAAAGCTACTTTTTACAAATAAATTTGCAAAAATGCGCTAACAAACGATATTTTGCACTTAAAATTTGCTTAATTGTTGGCTAGTAAAAATCATTCCAGTGAATATATATTTTATTATTATAACTACAAGTTTGGCAACTTTACTTAAACAAATAATTAATTGTTCTTAAATAGATATTTGTTAGGCAGTTATCCAAAAATACCATTTGTTTGAGACATTCGATTTTTGTTTACCCGTTTCTCAATGTGTGCGAATTTTCACACGATTTATTCCTTACGTAAAAGCTGTTTTTCACTCTATCGAATTTTTTTTCTTCCTATTCAAAGAAATTACTTTCTATGGGCGAGTAAGGTTGCTGCGTCTAATAAATAAAATGGAATAAAACATAAGAATGCAGGATATTTTTTTGTAATTTTTAATATGTACAGAGTTATATTCACAATGAAAGTTGGGCGTTATTCAACTGCTTAAATAAAAACGAACTGATTAAATTTTAAAATTTATCCAAGTAGCCAGTCAAGAACGCTTCCTACTACACATAGTAAATTACTAACGAGTGATGAGAGACCATTCACAACTCCTCGAAGAGCTTCGCAAGCTTGGGTCCCAGTACGTTCTAAAATCTTTGCTAATTCTGTAATCATGTACTGATAGATCTGTTTTTTGTGCTCTGCGCTTAAGACACATTTTGTAGTATCCAGTTTCAGTCGAAAACGATTAATTGTACAATTATTCACACCATCGATAACGGCCTTGGAGCATGCTGAAAGTTGTTACATAAAAATAAAGATATCCATATTCATTATAATCTAGTTTTCTATATTCTCCGCAGGAGTAATTAACAAAAAATATTTACTGACCGGTACATAAATATGAATGCCGATATAAGTACGAGTAATTAGCTCGTTATATTTTGTGCATATCAAAAATTAAAACCGCGGTGTAAGAATAAGTCGTGATTAAAACAAATACCGTACCTTGACCATTTACTGTAGGAAATGCCACAAAACATAGGAAAAGCAACCCAATGGCGAACGCGGTCGCGTACATGATGCTTAATGGTATGGTACAAAAAGTGAAAACTTCTCTTATATGGTGTACGCGTATCATGTACATAACCGAAACCTAATCTTCATGTGCACACATAAGAAGGTGTACAAACATATTTTTCTTCTCAAAATGTTGCGATATCTATTCTGTGTAACGAAACTTTCATAATTAAAGATATAAGGTATAATATATGCAAATTTATTCTGGAAGATAAAGTAACACATCACGAATATATTACAATTTACTCAATTTCTTCCCTTTAAAGCAGGATCTCTTGCGTGTACTATTTATACTGCGTTGTTGCGTTCGCACCTTCAGATGGTGTATGGGGTCTTATGGTAGTAAATGCCTCCCTTACTAAGTTGCGTCATTCTCCTATAACGCTATCCTTGTTCCTCACCGCAATGATGCCAAACTAACATATGAACATAGACATAATGAGAATAAGTAGATTGGGCGACGACCTGTGCGAAGTGTGAAACGGCCATGGCTGCCATTTTGACGCTCGCCATAGAATAGATTATAGTATAGAATACGTATATTTTAGTTAGGAGTTTTGTTTTCCATCCAAAGTGCTTGAAATGAAGCTTTAACTGTATAAACTAGGTATCGCCATTAACTGGTGTTGCAAAACAATACATCCCCAAGATACGCGAATTATAACGTTTATAAAATAAAGGATGAAATTTCTCACCAACCGATTTATTATACAATACCCTGCGGTTAACCCATTTTTATATACTTATATCTTTGTTTTCCTGTTTAATAATTCCATCCCTCGAAGTGACATGTTGTTGCCCAGAGAAAAAAATTAAACGCAAAACAGTTTTGGGAATTTCGTGGGCGTATTCCAAGCGATTATTTTGGATCCTGTTCCATTGGATTTGGCTGTCGCAAAGAGAATCGACAATTATGGTTATTAGCAGTCCACTCATTTCTATAAAGCTGATATTCTGCCATTTTAGGTTTGCGCATGCGCAGTTCCAACTTTCTTATTTAGAAAAGCATTGAAATGAAATTCTTCTCATAAACTGAAATTGAAGTAGCACGTCAACAATGGGTTGCCCATGCGTGCAACGCTATCTTTCATATTTGTGGGCGGATTTTTACGATTTTAACAGAAGTTGCATCTTACAAATGGGAAATGAATGCAAGTGGAAATGCGCTTTATGTAAATCGTTTACGATTACTTTTTAACTTGTTTATTTTTGTGGAAATGCGCTAAAAATGAAGTGGTTAGTTATATAAGTATTTCCAAGACCATTCGATATGCAAGATTAACTAACCCACATTCCTGATTGCAATTTCTTGTTAGTACTCGGGTCTCTTCCTCGGGGCGTTAAGACCCGTTAAGTCTCTCATATAATCTTTTAAAGTTTACGTAATTATAACTATATTACTAACCGTGCATCTTTTTCGCGCGTGAATAATAATGTGTGTAATGTTGGAAAAAAATAAGGATTTTCAAACAAGAACTAGGAAAATGGTATACATGTAAGTACAGAACCTTTATTGCTTTGCTTTCCTCTTTGTAAAATGAGAAATAGGCACATAATTGGTCATTTGCAACACTACCTTTGGTTTTGCAATATAATCTTCTTATTTTATTTATTGAACGCTTTTGTTTTTGATTTGATCGCGCTCATCTCATCTATGTACCATAAAAACAAGGCCACGTCTTAGTTACTGCATTAAGACCACGGCCTTGGTCTATAAACAAGGTCATTTCTAAGATTTGCAACCAGGAACTCACATTTTCGTCGGAGAAACAACAAAGCCATGACTTTGGGTCAAAGTCTAAGACCATGACATTGGACCAAAACTCAAGGACATGACCTCATTCCACAATCCAAGCATTAAACGAAGTTCCAAGGTCGTAACCTTGGAAAAACTAAATACCATGACCTTGTGCCGCCACCGGAGAAATCCTAAGGCCATGGCCTTGTGGCGTCGCATGAACTCAAGAAAACCCAATGTCACAAAAGCGGTAGAGTGGGGTGTCTCCATTCTACTTTTCAGTTTCAGTGTGTAGGTACTCTCCGATTTCATTTACAGGGTACCCAGAAGGCCAAACTAGCAAACATGAGGTATCGGTGTAGAAAATTTGAACGATTGTTTTTGTTAGAAAAATGGCAAAACCTTTTTTAAACAAAGGTACAGAAAAGATACTTCACGGATGTTTAAAAAAGAATAATTCGCCTTGGATGTTTGACTTTATAAACGAATTATCCCTTGTAGTAAGGAGAGTAGAATGCTAGATTTTGATCAATTCTTTGGTTTTACAAACTGAAAATCTGTATCTGACAAATAACCCAAGTCTTGAACTGAGATCGGATATACTCAATTATCAATAGCGAACTAAGTACCATAAGGCTTATCAACGAATATCAGAAAGCTCTTAAATTTAAAAAAAAGCAAATTTATATTTAATGCTAATACACTTAACGGAGGTTACTTTGAAAAGGCAAGGAGCGTAAAAATTTTGATGGAACGCATTACCAAGAGCTTACTTAATGGAACTCCATTAATAAATTACCTATGAAGTAACCTATATTTAAATGAGATTAAATTAAATTTAGTTTTTCATCTCGGCTTCCAACAAGACGATTAATTTTTCCTTATTCGGAATCGAATGCAATTTGCTTTTCCACTAAAATGAGCCTGAAAACCAAAGCGTAATTGCTCCCTTAGTTACTACAACCATTAATAAACACAATATACTACTACTACGTTACTAATAGTTATAAATGTATCGAGGAAGTTCATAATATCCCGAGGCGATAGCCGAGGAATATTATCCTTCCAAGAAGGTTCACCAGAAAGTACATTCCGTGTTGCTTAATGCTTATTACATTTTTTGTGCTTCCGCTTACGGTTGTTAATTGTTATGTATGTATGTAATGCATATTTCATTTTTATAATCCGAAGGCCGTGCTAGTTTCCAAAGTTACGAAATAGTTATTTGTGCAACCAGTTGGGAAAAGCACGATTTTTCGTAACGAGCTGATTTCTGCGGAACGAGCGAAGCGAGTTCCGCAAAAGAAAGCGAGTTACGAATAATAGTGTTTCCCAACGTGTTTCACACAATATTTTTTCTAATTTTGAATATGATCCTTTTTAAATGAAGTTAAACATGTCCATCCAATAATTATTTCTAAATCATCAAGTGAGTGTGTTTGTGTTTGACACTTCGTTACTATGGAAGCAATTTATGTTTAGTGTCAAGTTTCACAATTGCCATTCTCGAAAAAGTGAACTAACCTTTCTTCACGTAGAAAATGTAATATTTCAGGAGCAGTTCGTTCAAGTGACCATTCCCAACGCAAAGACAAAAGTATTTCGAGAATTTGCTATAACCACTGGTGCTTTTGATGGTATAAATTGCATTGAAATGATAAAGAAGTACGTGCTGCTAAGACCTTCAAATGTAAAGCATGACAGATTTTTCGTGAAATATTCAAATGGGAAATGTGGAGTTCAACCTGTGGGTATGAATACTTTCGGAAATTTGCCGAAAATGATAGCCCAGTTTTTAAAGTTGCCAAATCCCTGTTTGTACACCGGTCATTGCTTTCGGCGGTCATCGACCACTCTCCTTGCTGATTCTGGGGCCGATTTGTTGAGAATAAAGCAACATGGGGGGTGGAAGTCGAATACAGTCGCTGAAGGCTATAATGTGGAGAATTCCATAATTAATAAACAGAAGATTGCAACTAACATTCTTGGAGAGACTTCGATAGAAAAGACGCAAATTAATGGTACCCAGAAAACTACGGTGTCAGATGGAGTCAATATTGCCCATTGTTCCAATTGTGTTATTAATATTTATAATTCGTTTTTCGGAATACAAGTAGTTTAGTTTAAATGACACGTTACCGTAAGCATTTGAGACGGAATTTACGTTAAATTTAAGTTTTGTTTACTGTAAGAAAACTGAAATCAAATTTATATCACAAATTTTATTCTTGTATTTTTTGCAACTAATGCTGAAATTTACTTTTCATCACCAGTTGCGAAATATTTTACTTTTCACAACTGGTTATGAAAAGTAAAGGTAAGTTCATAGCTCTCCGTTCATACGTTTTCGTTTGTCCGTTAGCCAATCAGAAGATAGCAAATTTTTAAATCGTACGTCGTCCGTTTACGACGGAAAAGTTGGTTGAAGTTAAACATTTACGTTTCCGTTGGTCCGTTTTTAACAAGAGTGAGGTTATGTTTAGTACGTTAACAGTGTTCGCCTATTCGTTCTTCACGGTAATAATCAGATAGCAACGTGTTCATACTTTCGTACCATTTTTACATACTGAAAATCACGGAGGGTACAGTACAAAATAAAATTTAGGTTATGGTTATACGTTGCAAATGTACAATGTGGACGGATTGCTATGAACCTTAACAAAATGTATTATCCGTTTGACGGACCAACGCAACGGATGAACGGACAGCTATGAACCACCTTAAGGCATTTGACAACGTCAACGAGTTTTAAAAAAGTGTCACTTTAAATGTCAAAATTAGAAAAAATAAATGCATCCTTGCAATGAACGCACTTTATTAACGTGCGAAATTAAATTTGCTTATGTACCGAGAAAATGGATGCAGATGAAGTACAAAAATCTCCATCCATCTTTTTGTAAGTACTTTATGCTGATATATCCAAATTGCCAAAGCTCACCTTAAAATATCTCATGATAACCGTTTCTGCTTTGACGTTAAACATTTTCAGGTATTGTATGTAGTAATGATTATGAGAATTGCGAGAGTCCAAACCTCAAATGTGACATGATAAGCATTATTTTCCTCGGAATGTAAGTAATAGTACATTATATACCTACCAAGGTAGAGAAGTCTAGTATTATTGCCTGAGCACCAACATTACATCCCGAGGCGCTTTATTAGTAGCCGCTTTGAACAACTACCGAGCTAATGCGCTATTTTAGATATGCCACTAATTACGAACCAGAAAAATCCGATGCAACTGAATACCAAACGATCCTCGAGACTTTTTTTAGGCTATAACCTTTGACTCGATAGTCTACGTAGCTGAAAAACAATAACGACCCA